TAGGCCAGTTTACCTGACTTAAGACAATTCTTTAAATTACAGTTTGAGCAACACCTTCTGTTACAATTTCATAGAGAACCATCGTGCTCAAGATTAATGTGGTATTTACTAAGGGTTTGTTGGTTTTTTTTCTTTTGAGTGCTTTGAGTTTTTCAGAAGATCTTCACTTAAAAATGAATGTTGTATATTTCTACTGCTTCTTAAAATAGGGAGAGTGAGTTCTTAAGCTACTCAGATAAAATACAAGTTACTTTTATGAAATCACTCTTATTTTATCTTGCATGAGAATATTAAGAAATTTTCCTCTTATATATCTTTGATTATTGTAAACCTGGGGATGGGTATTGGTTTCATTCATGTAGGTTTTTTTTTTTTTTTGTTTGTTTGATGAAATACTCTATTTATTATTTATTTAAGTACTGAAAAAAAAAAAAAAAGATGCTTGAAATTCAGGAGTGGATCAGTTAGAAGTGCTTTAACACAAGGCTGGGGTTATGTGATATTTGATGTTGCCATGGGAAACTGCTTTGCAAGAACATTTGCAGAGCAGATGGACCAAGATAAATAAAACAGATACAGGTAGTGAATAGAGATTGTGTAATGTTCTGTGAAACAACAGGAAAACATGAACTCTGTGTAGCACAGTGCTTTGATTTGTCCTTTTTAATGGGTACACTGGTAGCTTAATTTTCAGAACATAGTTCTTTATAGCAAAAGAAATTATATTATATATTATATATATATAAATATATAAAATGGGCTAGTATATATTTGTGCTATTTGATTTTGTGCCATTGATAAGCAGCTGTCTGATATGGATAGTTTATTAGTGAAGGTTTCCTATATATTTTGACTTTTCAACGAATCAAAGAAAGTTTCAGATTTATCTGCCTCATCTTCTCTGTTATGTGAAACCTGTAATTTCCTAACTTTGTGCTGTACTACCTTTGGGCTAACTTTTAAAGTAAGTACACAAACATTATGGAATGAAAAATCTTTGCATTTCATATTGTTATAATTTTGTTAGCTTCACATGTTCTTGGCTATTGAGAGCTCTTCTGTAACCTTAACTTTTTACCTTGATTTTAAAAACTAGGTGAGTTGCATACTCAGCTTTTTTATGACTGGAGTATCTTTGGGATTATATGTTTGGCACAGAAGTTTATTTCCTTAACATGAACACGGAAGATATTAATGTAGCTATATATACATGCAACATGCCTTTGTAAGAGTACATATGTATAGAAATGTATACACTCATGTTTGTTTAACATGTATGCTTTGTTGTCTCTGTCAGTGTATAAAATAGGCATGTGCTGTTTAATTTTCTGTAAGGAAATAGGTATTTAGAGAATTGGAGATACAGTTTGTAGTTATAACTTTTCAGCAACTCAAATTCACACTTGTAAAATTAAAAAGCTTCTGGAAAAATAAAAGCTTGATCTGCTCTCTTGAAGATGTATGATTTAAACTGCTGAACAATTTTTATTTTTTTTTTCCTAAGTAATATATTGAATGCAAAAAATCTCTTTGGACCTTTACTTTACAATCCAACTGTGCTTACGTTCTTCATGCATTACAGAACATACTCTGTGGACTGATTTCTCCACATGCAGTGGAACAGCTCTTTGGGTGTCATATACCCATGAATGCCAGCATAATTGTGGGTGTTTTTCTTTCAGTATGAAATGACATGAAAATACTGCACCACTCAACACCATACAGTTGATTCATGTTTTTAGAGTGCTTGTTGACAGATTACTTTTGAGTGGTCAGGGTAATGGTTCTTTGGTTTTAGGTATATATTTCCATTATGAAAGAAAATGCATTTCATGTATTTGTTGTTAATCCATTTAAAATATCACATGTGAATATCTGCCTGAATTGGATACTAGTATCTGAATTTCTTCTATTGCTTTTACTCTTTGGTAGTAAAGTCTTGCCATAATGTTAGAGAGGCCAAAAGACATGTTTGCAGTCACAGTATCACAGTATGTTAGAGATTGGAAGGGACCTCAAAAGATCATCTAGTCCAATCCCCCTGCCGGAGCAGGAACACCTAGATAAGGTTACACAGGAACGTGTCCAGGCGGGTTTTGAATGTCTCCAAAGAAGGAGATTCCACAACCTCCCTGGGCAGCCTGTTCCAGTGTTCCGTCACCCTCACTGAGAAGAAGTTTCTTCTCAAGAAAGAAAGTCATTAGAGCTTGGGTTACTATATGTTGCTAGCTTTCAATTATAACCTTTCTATGCCTTTTATACAGCTAAAGCACAGTGAGGTTGATTGTAATTTTTTTATTTCCCATGCATTGTGGAGAAGAGATTTCATAGGTGATTAATTTAACCTTTTTTCAATCTATTTTATGTAGAGAGTAGTTGAATAAAACACAGAATCACAGAAGTAGTGAGGCTGGAAGAGGGACCTCTGGAGATTGTCCAGCACTGTGGTCAAAGCAGGATCACCTAGAGCACATTGTTCAGGACAATGTCCAGTTGGGTTTTTAGTACCTCCCAAGGGTGGAAACCCTTCAGCCATTTTGGGCAACCTGTGCCATTGGCTGATAACCCTCACAGGAAGAAAAACCCCAACTATGTTTAAATGGGATATCTTGTATTTAATCTGTGCCTGTTGCCTCTTGTCCTTTCATGGACTCCCTTAGTCTCCCCACCATCAGGTATTTATAAGCATAGATAAAATTCTTCTGAACCTTCTCTTTGCAAGGCCCCCATCTCTCTTAGCCTCTCCTCATACAAAAGATGCTTCAGGCCTTTAATTGCCTTCATGACTTTTTTTGCAGGACTTGCTCCAGTAAGCTCTCTTGAACTTTGGAGCCCAGGAACTGGGCACGGCATTCAGGAAGGCTTGCCAGTGCTGAGTGGAGAGGAAGGATCACCTCCGTAAATCTGCTGGTGATATTCTTCTTAATCAGTCCTTGTTGCTTTGGGCCTTCTTTGCTGTGAAGGCATGTTGCTGGCTCATGGCCAGCTTGTGGACTGCACGTCTTTTTTTGTGAATGTGCATGGGATTTTTCCTGCCAGGGCTTTGCAATTGCCCTTTGTTGAACTTCAAGAGGTCAGTTTTTGCTTTTTTCTCTAGCCTTTCAGGTTTCCTCTGAATGGCAGCACAACCCTTTGATGTATCAACTACTTGCAAGTGCATCTGTGAACTTGCTGAATGTCCCTTCTTTCTCACCTTGCAAGTTATTAATGAAGATGTTAAACAGTACTGGCTGTCATATTGATGCCTGGGATGTGCCTTTGATGACTGACCTTCAGCTGGACTTTGTGCTACCGATCTGTAGCCCTTTGATCCCAGTAGTTCACCCAGTTTTCTGTTCACCTAATTCTACATTTATCCATTTCATGTTTCATCAGTTTGTCAGGGAGGAGGCAATGTGAGACAGTGATGGAAGCATTGTTGAAGTCAAGATAAGCAATGTTCACTGTTCTCTCTTTGTCAACTGAGTCAGCCTTCATATCGTGAAAAATGATCTGTTTGGTCAGACACAATTAGCCTTTCTTGCTTCCCCACACTTACTTCTCCCAAACAACTTCTTGTCCTTTTTGGCAGTGCTTTTCAGGATTATTTTCTCCACACCTTTCCCAGGGATTGAGGTGAGGCTGTGACTGGCCTGCAGTTTCCTGGATCCTCCTTCTCACCCCTGCTGAAAGTAGGGCTGATGTTTTATTTCTTACAGTCCTTGATACGTTTGGGGCTTGGGTGGATCTCATTATGGCACATGGATCTGTGTGTGTCCAGTTTGTTTAAATGCTTCCTGACCTGATTACCCTTCATTGAGGGAAAATCTACCTTGCTCCAGGCTTTCCCACTGGTCTCAGGGATGTGGGATGTCTGGGTAGTGGTTTTAGCAGTAATGAGTGAGAGGAAAAAGGCATCCAATGTATTGGCATTCCTCATATCCTTTGAGATACGTCTCCATCAGCAGAGGGTCACCATTTTCCATAGTCTTCCTTATGCTGCAGATAACATCAGTAGGAACACTTTCCCTTCAGTTTATGTTAAGGGGAATTATTACCTGTGTCTCTGATCCCAGTGAAGTTTCCAGCTGCATGCAGAGCTCTTAATTCTTCCTGTTCCCTAATCTGTGTGCTTTAGGATAGAGGCTCTTTGAAGAATTACAAGAGCATGCTGATTTCTCAGAAAAGATAGGATAGATTTCACCATTATTCTCCCTGGCGGGCATTTCCCTGTGTATGTGGACACAGTTAGGGTGGGATCCCTTTAGCCCTGTATTTTTTGTTTACAAATTTCCTCCTGTTCACATTGCCCCATACTCTTTGCTTGCTAGCCTGATCCTTTACTTCCTCATTTCATTGCTTGTCATCCTTTCCTGCTCCTGATAATTCCTAGTTTGAAACTCTCATCACTGGTTTGGCCAGCCTGTTGGAAAAAAAAGAGGTTTTTCCGCTTTAGGTTGATACCACGTCTGCTAAACAATCATCTGTCCACAGGTTTAGCTGACTTGGGTCTTTCTGGACAGAGCTTTTAATTGTTGCCTTCACAAGACGATTATTTTAGTTGCACTGTTTTTGTATTTTACTCTGTTTTGTGAGCAAATATGTGTAAAAACATTGCTAGTGAACAGATTAAGTGTTTTGGGATTTGTTTATTTTATGAAGTTTTATTCTTAAATGGTATTCAAGACAATACCATATGGGTTAGCTGGCTGTGAAAACGCTTTTTCCATTAGTGTGGCTGATAGAAGGAAAATCATTTACGGGTTGCCTATGCTCAGGTAGATCAGGGATTAATCTTGAATTCATCTTAAATCAGACTGAGAGTCTGTAGAAAAATGAATGGGAATCAGTATCTGGGATAGGATTTGATAAAGGTTATTTAAGACTACCTTTCAGTTCCAGAGTTGTTATTTTAGGTTGTACCATCTGGGAGATACCAGCACTTTTTTCTTTTATTGATTATATGATATTTCAACATGATATAACTGGTTTTACATGTGACTTGTTTCTGTTTGTTCTAGGAAATGAACCCAGGAAGTAATGTGAAGGGCCATGTGAAGCTCTGTCATAGCAGAAATTTTCTAAAAGATTGCTTTACCTGTAAGTTCTTTTTGGTTATTAAATGTTAAATTCTATTCATACTGCTGGAAAAAAAAGGGGTTTATTTTGGCATTTTGACTTGCAGCTTGATTGTGAAGAAAACACTACCAAGTGCCTTATGTTTAATGCCTCCTATTATTAACTTGCTCTATTTTAGTAAAGAGCAAACAAACAGTTCTCCTCTTCTATTAAGGTTTTAAATCTAATGAGCAAGATTTTCATGTTGAGTCGCTATAGGTTATTCATCCACTGTGACGCACGCAAAACTGCAGTAGGTAATTTTTCAGAAATTCTTTTAAAAATGAAAGAAAGGCAGAAAGCGTCCAAACCTGTATGACAGTGTGAAACTTTCCCACTAAAAGTTCTTTAGAAAAGATTGCCTGTGCAGGTGCCTGCTATGACTCAGACCTCTTCGGGGGTGGTCCTCTTTTTTCCAGAGTTGTTAAGTTATATAGTAGTGCCCTTTACAGTTGTGCCACTTGTTGTGCCATTGCACAGTGAACTCCAGTTAGGAATTTAAACTGTTTTTTTTTTTCATATTGAGTCTAATTATCTGCATCAAAATACTTCAGCAATTGAGAGGCATGAACTTGTCCTCCTAGTAATATTGCAATAAAAATGTTAGAAGGTCTGTTTTACACAAAGAACCGAAAGCATTAGACTATGGATTTTGGCAGATTCACTTAGATGGTGGCGGAGCTGACAACAGAATTCAGAAGTTGTTAATCCCAATAAAGAGTTATAATGTGAAAATATATAAAGATATGCTTAGAAAGTATATCTTCACAAAGATTGGTAGTTTACAAGCTAGAATTTAACCAGTAGATTGGTTTTCTCCCTTGTGTAGGTAATTAATGTAGCTTAACAGCATCTATTTGCTGTTTGCAAAATAGTGCATCCAAAGGAGAGTGACCAGCAGGTCGAAGGAGAGGAGCTGATTCTGCCCCTTTACTCTGCTGTCGTGAGACCTCACCTGGAGTGAGTTCAGTTCTGGTGTCCTCAACATAAAAAGGACATGGAACTGTTGGAACAAGTCCAGAGGAGGGCCACGAGGATGATCAGGGGACTGGAGCACCTCCCATATGAAGACAGGCTGAGAAAGTTGGGGCTGTTCAGCCTGGAGAAGAGAAGGCTGCATGGAGACCTCATAGCAGCCTTCCAGTATCTGAAGGGGGCATATAGGGATGCTGGGGAGGGACTCTTCATTAGGGACTGTAGTGATAGGACAAGGGGTAATGGGTTAAAACTTAAACAGGGGAAGTTTAGATTGGGTATAAGGTGGAAATTCTTTCCTGTTAGGGTGGTGAGGCACTGGAATGGGTTGCCCTGGGAGGTTGTGAATGTTTCATCCCTGGCAGTGTTCAAGGCCAGGTTGGACAGAGCCTAGGGTGATATGGTTTAGAGCAAGGTGTCCCTGCCCATGGCAGAGGGGGTGGAACTTGGTGATCTTAAGGTCCTTTCCAACCCTAACTATTCTATGATTCTATTTTGCAAGTTCCTGTAAACTATAAAAGGGAAGGTACTAATGAAGACTGTTTAAAAGCTGATAGTAGCTGTTTAATACTTTAAAAATAACAATTTCAGAATTTTTTCCTCATTTAGTAGCCTATTTTTAAGTAGCAGCAACTTCTATACATGGGCAGCTTAGGTAATTTAGTTTGATGTAACCTGCAACCAAATAAAAAACTTGCAAACACTAGTTTTCTACTGTTCAAGCTCTTCATAAAGTGTCAGAAAATGTCCTGATATTTATTTCTGATTTTCTTCTAAAAGTGCTTGTCTTCATATTTCTTTACTATACTGATATAGCTTGAAACATCACAAATTAAGTGCAAATACAAGAACATCTGTTAGAAATTAGAATCTTAGTTCTGCAGTTCATGTTGTAAAGTAAAAGTTGAACCATATTGGCTTCATTCTGTTAATATTCACACAGTAATGATGAAACTTCAGCAATTGCCCTGTGTTATTTTAAATGTATTAAAATGACTGAGATGATGAAGCATTTCCTTTGGTTTTATCAAAGAATTTGGAGAGGATATTCCAGGATATTTCAAGGAGACTTTTATGATTAGTCAAGGAAGAGAGACAAGGAACTGCTGCTCTGATAATGCTGCCTTAATAACTGGATTTGTCAGATTTTCAGTATTATCTGGTAGGCTTAATTATTTAGCACTAGTCAGTCAAGTGAATTTCCATTATCACAACAGTAACCCGAAACCAAACAAACTGAAAAGAAGTATGATTGAGTTAGAACTGGCTAATTTATTTCAACTTTGTCATCTCATTCAGTTGCTCTGTTCATCTTTTCATTTCTCTCTGAGAAATGCAAGTATTTTATATATGTGTGTATGTATATATATATATATACACACATATAAGTTTGAATGCATGCGTGTGTGTTTCAGAGCTATTTATACTCAATGAGGATAAGACAACATTTGGGGCAAAAGTACAGAAGTGACTTAGAAAAACCTTAAGTGAGAACATGGTGAAAAGTCTTTGACAGGATGCAAAAGCTGAGTGTCATATTGCATGCTGAGCACTGAAGTACATTTGTAGCTTCCCAGACAACAAATGCAGTACTTTGAGTCCTGTAAATATGCTTATTTCCATCTGATTTTAGTAGCTGGACTGAATTTGAAGGCAAAATAATAGAAAAATATTTGGTTTTTTTTTTCTCATCTAAATGTTTGCAACATTGTCAATTACTGCATAGGTACAGGCAATTCTGAAGTCTGGCAAAAACCTGACAATATGCAAGTACAGAGGCATATTTTATTCCCTGGGCATAAGAACTGACCTTATATTTACTCCTCCCAAGTGCCAGTAAACCTCTTTCTGGTACGTGTATTGAGCAAAATATTCACATACATCAAAGGTACCACAGTCCTTAACTTCATTGCCAGAATTTTTCCTATTATACAAGGCATTCTTCTCTCGGTAAAGCTTCAGTTTTGCAGAAACACTGAAGATACTTGTGTACTTGATGTAAAAATTATTTATGTGGTTCCACTCTTATATGGTGTAGCAGGTTGCTTTGAAGCTCAGGAATCTGAGAGTTTTGGTGGGCTAGAGTGAAAACCCCCTGCCTGTACTCCTTAAAGAGGTTCACATAGGCCAAGAAACTGTTGGTTTTTAAGAAGTGCTGCTACAGACTGTTTTTCCTAAGCCTATTGCTCAAGAATTATAGTAATCTGTCATTGGTCCTTACCAGTAGTGGACATTTATGCATCTTTAATCTTACTTGCAGTGCTTGTGCTGTCTAATGGCCTGGCAGGAGTGATCAGAACTTCAACTATGTCTCCTTGCCAACAGGTTGACTGTGTATTCTTTTATGCATCTGGATCATATGCAGTGGAATTATACTGGGAAGAATGCAGTTCTGCTTCTAGTATATCTCTGTTGAGAAGCTGTCAGGACCTTCATTTCTTTATAAATTTTAATTTGTGCAGTTTTGACCACAGGCATTTACAAATGCTAAGGGTATTATTGATGGTTTCTGCAAAAAATTCTTATGGGGTAGTCTGAACGTGAAGAAGCTTGTAAGCACTGATTAGACAAATATAATAGTGGTTTCAGAAGATTGACATCAGAATACAGATTTCTTTTAAGCATTAGACATCAGGTTTTCAGTAAGTCTACCTACTTTGTCAGCATGCTTCAGAGGAATACTGAGAAGGAGGCAAGATTCTAGAGACTGTTGGTTTAATAAGGGCCTGATAAAAGAAGTATAAAAGTAATAAAATAAGATAGTTCTTGTTTGGAATAACTTCTGACTGTTACTATGTGCAAGCTAGAAAGAATAATATGCCTTATTTATCCAATTAAATAATGCTTGGAGAACTATAGACAAGCAATTCTGGTTCTGTTTTCTGTGAATTCTCTTCTGAATTGGTTATAAATAAGCTAATGAAGCTGTGGCAGCACTGTATTTTCACAGATGACTGGAATGGCTTCTTTCAAGTCGTCCCATACACCTCTATATTTAGTGCTTAATCTATTCTCTTCTTGTTAAGGAAGTGGGGGACAGTATCGCCAAGAAATGTCTCAAAGCAGTATAGATGTAGCATCCTGCTGAAGTCTGCAACTGACTTTATACTTCACAGATTCAATTATCATATTGGTATAAACAGGAAAGACAAAATGAGGAGGAAAAAGGATATCGTTGCTACATATACTGAGCGCAGGTTTCTACAAGAGACAGAAATCAAACATTTTTTTTAACCATGAGATAGTTCCAACGGATTTGTCTCAAGTCTTTGATATAAAGAATTCCATGTCATTAGTTGTGATATTGATTAAATTATTTCTGTTACACATTTACTTTATCTGGGAATATTCCAAATAAATCAGTATTATAAAATTGGCTGTCACGATACATGGAAAAGTAACTGTATACCTTACTGAGATTTGTAGGTCATGGTAGCAATTACTTCATTATTATCAGTTTTGTAATTCTTATATTTTTCTTTCAAAATGAGTTTGCATGTATTATTTTAATTAATGTTAGCTGGTAAACAAATAAGGAAACAGAAATCTTGTCATACCTCTTTTTTCCCCCCATAGGTGGATTATTCTGTGTTCATCTAATCACTATCAAAATAACATTTCTGTCCTGTGCTTAAGGTTAAAATTTCAGGTATCATCTTAATATGTTATATGAAAAATAAGTAATAGTGCAAATTCGACTTCTATTTATAGATGTACAAAAATTTCTGAATATAGCCATTCATTTTGACAAAGTTAAGAGCACAAGTGCTCTGTTTACACAGACAAAATGGTGAATTACTCCTCTTTATGAAGGACCTGTTTGCTGGTGCAGTGACAAGAGTTGGTCAGTTTCTCTGAATACTTGCCTTGCTGGATTTCTGGAGCACTTAGCGTTTTCCCTTATTCTTCTCATGCCCTCTGAAAAAAAGATTTCACTAAGATTACAAGTTTGGGTCACTGGTGAGAGTCCAGTACGAGTATGGCAAAAGGTGAAACTAAGTTGAAAA